TTGGACATTATCAGCATCATTAACTATATGCTGATTAAGGAACATATTTACTATTGGACATTATCAGCATCATTAACTATATGCTGATTAAGGAACATATTTACTACTGAATGTCAAACAAGAAACTATAGACACTGGCTTACAGGGTTCAGTGAAAGACAACATGATCTGTGGTATCTTTTTTACAATCTCTTTTAGATATTTGAATAAAAATACTGTCACAGAAAGGGAGCAAGTCTGAAAATGTTCCTATGAAATACAGTCTCTCTCTGAGACAAGAAAATTAGCTACATGGTACGGGCGTTGTTTCTGGTGATGCACTTTAGGTGGCAGTGATATACAGCATCATATATAGTGCCAGCAATACACGAAAGGTATTTTGTAACTAGGAAGAGAAATTGTAAGTAATAGAATTTCAATAGAATTTCTGAATTTTTTTTTCCAAAAGATTGGTTCCAAAGTCATGATCTGGAATTATTAATTCCATATTCAAATTTTGATTTKGGGCATGTTAACAATCTCCTGGTCTTGGATTTTTATTTGGCAAATACTAGGTAGTTCTGCTGGCAGAATCTTTCAGTGAATTTCAATTCTTATTTTCTGTTTCTTCTAAAAACATTATATGATACWCAGCTAAGAAAGAGGATAGCTTCTCCTCTCTTACTTACCTATATTACAATTTGTTTGTCTTTCCCACATTTCCCTAAAAATGAATGTTTTCCCTTTTCACTGATATTTTCCTGGTAACATTTAGAGGAATAGCACTGRTGAATGAGGAAGTTTTAGTAAGAATAGAATTATCTAAATATAATACCTCTCAATACTTTAGTATGCTCTTAAATGAAGRAAGTCTCAAAAACTTTCAATACAATACCTGTTACAATCAAAGGAAACCCTTCAGCTATTTCAGTTGTTTGCTGAATTGCTTCTCATGCATAAGGARAAAAGCCCTCAAAACAAAAACAAAACAAAAAGTTGTGTATTGGCCATTAACAAAGGTTTATGAATAAAACATTCTCCTTACATGTGGCATATTGTATAGATTTTCATAACTACTCTTGGGCAAAATCTTGCTGAGTGACATAAATTSTAGGGACATCAGGAAACAGGTATGGAGACTCCTTGTATGCCCCCATTTGGCACTTGTTTTAGCTAAGACCTGTGTTAACAGCAAGCTGTTACATGACACAAAACCAGAATGCTTTAATCCTGTTAATAGTCAAGGTTTATTATCTCTGACACTTGGTCACAGTCATATGGCTATAATATTTGTAAATTTAAGGTACTTTCGCCACATATAGCTGCATTTCACTGTATGGAGTTTACAGTTTGGATCATGTACATTGTACAATATTATTTGACTGTGGTAAAAAATATGCCAGATATCACAGGACATCAATCTTTGGTAATCTTTTTATCTTTCAGACTCATAAGAACAGGAATGTTAAAGACACCTGCAAGAGAACAGTAGTGTTGACTACAGAAGTGGTAATCTGGCATAGCAATAACTGATAACAGGTGGAGAATCTTTGAGCATGGAGGGCTTGTACAGCTATCTATCTTCCCTTATGACTCAGGTCCTACTCCAAGATATTGTGACTCAGTCATAAAACTGAAACTGCTGAAGCTTAAGCATGATGTGATGCCTGCAACAAAATCTTCAGTAAGTATCTAGCTCCACTTGAGAATCATCTCCATATATCTCAAGCCAAGTGGAATGATGTATTAAACACAATAATAGCTGTACTATGGCTCTGAAATATCTGACATAGACCAAGAAAATGATACATTCATCCAATTGGTCATACCAACCAGATTCACAATACTTGAAATGTTTATAGAATTTCTATAAATATTGAAATATTCCTGTTATTCCTCACTGTCTCAAAGACAGAACCAGATCTTT